CGTGCGCGGCGGCGCCGCCTCGCCGCGCCGCGCTGCTGGCGGCGGCGGCGGCGCCGCCTCGCCGCGCGGCGGCCGCGGCGGCGGCGGCGGCGAGCCGGCGCGCAGCGCTGGCGCGGGGGGTGGCGGCGGCGGCGGCGGCGCTGCTGCCGGGCGCGGCGGCGCGCGCGGCGCCGCCGGCCGCCGGCGCGGACGCGCGCGCCGCGCTGCTCGCGGCCATCGCCGCGGGCGCGGCGGACGCGGACGTCGCGGCGCGCGTCGCCGCGCTCGTCGCCGAGGACCCGAGCCGGGGCGCCGCCGCGGCGTCGCCGGCGCTCGGCGGCACCTGGCGCCTGGTCTGGTCCGCCAGGGCCGAGGCCTTCTCGCCGCTCCTGCGGCTGCCGCCGCCCCTGAGGCCCGAGTCGTACCAGCTCCTCGGCGACGCCGCGGCGGCCGAGGTCGGGGCCGGCCGCGTCGCGCAGCTGCTGACGCGCGGGGTCCTCGGCGGCGGCAGGCTCTGGCTGAGCAGCGGCGTCGCGCCGGCGGCCGAGGCGGACGTGCTCGAGATCTACCCGCCGTTCCGGCTCGAGCTCGAGGCGGGCGCCGCGCGGGCGACGCTCGTCGAGGCCGGCTCGGACGCCGAGTTCCGCGCCGCCAACGCGCGCACGGCCGAGGCCCAGGCCGCGCCGCGGAACCGGTACCAGCAGCAGTACCTCGAGACGACGGGCCGCGCCGGCGACCTCCGGATCTCGACGATCGTCTCCGGCGACCCGGTCATCGTCGGCGCCGTCTTCGTCCACGAGCGCGTCATCTAGGCGCCTAAGTGCCGGGGGCCTCCCGAGGCCTCGCCCGCGCCCCGGATCGCAGGTAGCGCCGGGGGAGCCGAGACGCTGGAGGCTCGCGCGGCATAGCCTCGGCGGCGTCCCCGGCTCGCCCGAGACTCCGGCGGCTCCTCGAGAAGCTCAAGCGCCTTCTCTGCGCAGCCCGCGACGCGGACGGCCGAGATGTCCTCGCAGATCGACGCCGCGGAGGCGAACGACGGCTGCGTCGGTCCGGCGAGCGAGCGGGCGGGCACGGCCGAAGCCTGCGAGGGGTGCCCGAACGCGGCGGCCTGCGCGTCGGGCGCCGGGCGGGCCGCGCCCGAGGACCCGACGCCGGGGCTCGTGCGCGACCGCCTCGCGGGCGTCAAGCACGTGCTCCTCGTGCTCAGCGGCAAGGGCGGCGTCGGCAAGTCGACGATGAGCTGCCAGCTCGCGCTCGCGCTCGCGTCGCGGGGCTACGACGTCGGCCTCCTCGACATCGACATCTGCGGGCCGTCCGTGCCGCGGATGATGGGCCTCCGGGGCCGCGGCGTGCACCAGTCGTCGAGCGGCTGGTCGCCGGTCTACGTCGACTCGCCCGGCGGCGAGCTCGGCGTCATGTCCGTGGGCTTCATGCTGCCCGAGGACGACAACGCGATCATCTGGCGCGGCCCGCGGAAGAACGGCCTCATCAAGCAGTTCCTCACGGAGGTCGACTGGGGCGACCTCGACTTCCTCGTCGTCGACACGCCGCCGGGCACGTCCGACGAGCACATCTCCATCGCGCAGTACCTCAAGCTCGCGGACGTCGCCGGCGCGCTCGTCGTGACGACGCCCCAGGAGGTCGCCATGCAGGACGTGCGCAAGGAGCTCAACTTCTGCGCGAAGACGCGGATCCCGGTCCTCGGCGTCGTCGGGAACATGTGCCGGCTCCGCGTGCCGCTGTCGTCGCTCGAGTTCGTCGACCGGCGCACGGGCAGGGACGCGACGGCGGAGATCCGGCGGCTCCTCCGCGAGGCGGACCCGATCCTCAAGGAGGTCTTCGACGACGTCGACGCGTCCGTCGACGTCTTCGCGTGCGACGACGCGGCGGCGTCGCCCGCGGCCATGGCGGCGGCCTTCGGCGTGCCCTACCTCGGCGACGTGCCCCTGGACCCCGTCCTCCAGCGCGCCTGCGACGCGGGCCAGTCCCTCGTCGACGACTTCCAGCACGCGTCGTCCTTCGCGCCCTTCAGCGCGGTCCTCGGCGCGCTCCTCACGCACCTCGCGGCGAACGACGCCCTCGCGAAGAGCGCGGCGCCGTCCTAGGGGCCGGGCGCGCCTAGTTATTCTGCGAAAACTTGTGCCGGCACTTGAGGCACTCGTAGAAGACCGTCTGGCCCTCGTCGACGCTCCGCATCTGCATGGTGTAGAACTCCAAAACCGGGTGGCCGCACTCGGGGCACTCCTCCTCGACGGTCGCGCGCGTCGACTTCTTCGGGCCCGCGTCCGCGTCGTACTCGTCGTCGTCGGCGCCGCGCGCCCACTTGGGCCGCGGCTTCGGCGCGGTCCGCGTCTCGACGACGACGTCCGCGAGGCCGCTGTCTGCGCGCGGCGCGCGGCGGCGCGTCGTCGACGGCGCGCGCGCGCGCGCGGGACGAGACGCGCGGCGCGAAGGGGGGGGGGGTCGACGGCGCGCGCGGGCCGCGGGGGCGCCCGTCCGGCGCGACGCACCGGCGAAGGAGCAGGACGCCTCGCAGCTCGAGCAGCGCAGGGGCTCCGCGTCGGGCAGCTCGACGTAGGACCCGCAGTGCTCGCAGAAGAGCGCACCATCGATGTTCTCGAGGACGAGCAGGCCGGGCATGTTATTGATGTGACGCCTTCGATGCGCGAATGGACCGGCGCGACTGGTCTATCGCGGAGTTGGCAAATTCAATGTTTTGGATGAGGGGCCAAGATGAAGCAAAGTGACGCAGTTCAAGTCGCCTATAGATCGGCGTAGTCGACCACCCCGGCAGCCAACATAGGACGGGCGTCCGCCGCGGGCTTCTGCGCGCGCGCCCGGGCCTCCGCGTCGACCGGACGCCCGGCCCGCGGATCCCGCGGCGCACCGTGACCGTCACCGCGGCTCTCCGCCGGCGCAGCGCGTCCTCGGCGCTGCCCACGGGCGGCAGCCGCTCCCGGAATAACCACCGAGCGACGTCGCGACGGGCGGCCGGGCTTGGCAAAAGCTCGCCCACCTAGCGACATCTCGACCGGATCGGATCAACACAGTGCACCTTACCGTCAAAAATTCTTCAAGGTTCACGCTGTGCCATCGGTGTGGCAGCTCAGACGGGCGATCAAAGTCAAGCCTTCGAGGCCCGAAGGACCGCGTGCACCACAAAGCAAGCATCATGTCGGCCGTCGACGCGAAGGCTTCGAAGAAGCGCAAGGCCGAGGCGTCGTCGGCGGCCTTCGACGAGGCCGCCGCCGCCGCCGGCGAGAAGGCGAAGAAGCCCAAGAAGACGCCCGAGGAGAAGGCCGCGAAGGCTGCGAAGAAGGCGGCGAAGGCGGCGAAGGCGGCGAAGGAGGCCGCGGCCGCGGAGGGCGCGGCGCCCGCCGCGGCCGCGGAGGGCGCGGCGCCCGCCGCGGCGCCCGCCGCGGCCGCGCCGGAGAAGAAGCGGCCGCGGACGCGGTCCGTCGACGCGCAGGACCGCGCGAGCGACGCGGCGCTGGCGTCGGCGCCCGCGGGGTCCCGGGCGCTCGGCGACTTCGCGCTGTCCACGGGCACGCGCCAGGCCCTCGACAAGCGGGGCATCAAGGTCCTCTTCCCGATCCAGGCCGCGACGTTCGCGGCGATCTTCGACGCCGGCAAGGACCTGCTCGCGCGCGCGCGGACGGGCACGGGCAAGACGCTCGCCTTCGCACTGCCCGTCGTCGAGAAGCTCCTCCTGGACAAGGCGACGCAGCGCGCGCCGCGCGCGCTCGTGCTCGCGCCGACGCGCGAGCTCGCGCAGCAGGTCCTCGGCGACTTCTCGGACGTCGCGCACGGCCGGCTGCGGACGCTCTGCGTCTACGGCGGCTCGGCCTACGGCCCGTCCTGCGACGCGCTCCGCCGCGGCGTCGACGTCGTCGTCGGCACCCCGGGCCGGACCATGGACCTCATCGAGAAGGGCGTGCTCGACGCGTCGGCGCTCTCGTTCGCCGTGCTCGACGAGGCGGACCAGATGCTCGACATGGGCTTCAAGGACGAGCTCGAGAAGATCTTCGCGGCCATGGCGCCCGCGGGCGCCCCCGCGCGGGCGCGCCAGCTCCTCCTCTTCTCCGCGACGCTGCCGCCCTGGGTCCGCAACATCGCCAAGGCCTACGCGCAGACCGACGCGTCCCTCGAGGCCATCGACCTCGTCGGCTCCGGCGGCGGCGACGCGCGCGACGGCCTCGGCGGCATCGTCTGCCAGGCGTCGACGGACGTGTCGCACAAGTGCGTGCCCGTGGCCTCGTGGTCCATGAACCACAAGGTCATCAACGACGTCGTCGGCGCCTACGGCCTCAACGGCGCGGCGCGCTGCGTCCTCTTCTGCGAGACCAAGGCCGAGTGCAACGACGTCGTCGACTCCAAGGAGATCACCTACGAGCGCCGCGCGCTCCACGGCGACATCCCCCAGGCGCTCCGCGAGAAGACCATGGCCGCGTTCCGCGCGGGCCAGTTCAAGATCCTCGTCGCGACGGACGTCGCCGCGCGCGGCCTCGACATGGTCGTCGAGCTCGTCGTCAACAACAAGCCGCCGGCGACGCGGAGCGGCTGGGCGGACGCGGAGACCTACGTGCACCGCTCCGGGCGCACGGGCCGCGCGGGCCGCAAGGGCACGTGCGTCACGCTCTACCAGACGAAGCACCGCGCGACGCTCGAGGAGATCGAGCGCAAGACGAAGAACGCGTTCGACTGGGTCGGCGCGCCGCGCGCCCGGGACGTGCTCTCCGCCGCCGCGGACGCCGCGCTCAGGGCCGTCGAGGACGTCGCGCCCTCGGCGCTCCCCTGCTTCGAGGACCGCGCCGCGGCCCTCGCGGCGACCTTCGCGGGCCGCCACGGCTCCTCGGCGACGGGCGGCTACGCGGAGGCGCTCCGCGCGGCGCTGGCCAAGCTCGCGGGCTACGAGCGGGGCAAGCCCGCGGACCGCAGCCTGCTGACGAACAGCGAGCACTACGTCACGTGCCACTACGCGGCGGGCCTCCCGATCCACTCCATCTCCTACGTCTGGAACTTCCTCCGCCGCGAGCTCAAGCCCGAGGTCTGCGACGCGCTCAAGGCCATGCAGCTCGTCGCCGAGGGCGACGGCGCCGTCTTCGACGCGCCGGCCTCCGCCAAGGCCGACCTCGTCGGCCTCGACGGCGTCAGCGTCGACATCGACGACCTGCCGAAGCTCAAAGAGCGCGCGGGCGGCAAGGGCGGCAAGGGCAAGGGCGGCCGCGGCGGCAAGGGCGGCGGCCGCGGCGGAGGCGGCAAGGGCCGCGGCAAGGGCCGCGGCTCCTCCTGGTACTAGCCGCGCGCCGCGCGCCTCGCCCGCTCCGAACGTAACACGACCTCCTCCGCGCCGGGTCTCGCCGGCAGGTCGGCCGCCGCCCCCCTTTAATAACGAGCGCGGCCTTCGCCGTCGGGGGCCGCGTATGGCGCCCGGGCGCCCTCGATGTCGTCTCCGTGGACCGGGGCGTCTACACGGCCGAGTGCGACGACGGCCAGGTGTGCACGACGCGCTTCAGCCGGGTCCGGATCCGCCGCGCGCTAGACCGTGGTGCGAATTCGTTTACCGTCAGAAGCCGCCGGCGAAGCCGGAGGGCATCGGGACGCCCGCGACGGTCGGCGGCGTTCGTGGCGGCGGCGGCAGGCCGGGGACGCCCCGCAGGAACTCCTCGTCGTCCTCGTAGTCGTCCTCGTAGTCGTCGTCCTCGTCGCCGCCGCCGTCGTCGTCGCCGCCGTCCTCGGCGAGCATCGCGATGAGGGAGCTGACGTTGGACGTGCGCACGTTCACGCGCACGGGGCTGAAGTCCGGCGTCCTCGGTGGCACAGGCACGGTCTGGAACGCCTTCGGCAGGCTCTGCTTCGCGGGCGACGGCTCCGAGGTCCGCAGCGCGTCCTTGAGCGACGGCCCGCGGCCGAAGAGCGGGTTGTCCGGCTCGTCGTCGGGCGGCGCGGGCACCTTCGGGCCCGAGTGGCCCGTGCCGCGGTCCCGGGCGCGCTTCTGGGGCGACGACGACGCCTGCTTGGCTTTTCTCGGCCGCGGCGCGGGGTCGGGCGTCGCCGGCGTCGCCGGCGTCTCCGGGTCGGGCCCCCAGATGGGGTCGACGGCTTTCGCCTTCTTCGGCCGAGACCCGGGCGTCGCCGGCGTCGCCGGCGTCTCCGGATCGGGCCCCCAGATGGGGTCGACGGCCTTGGCCTTCTTCGGCCGAGTTTCGGGCGTCGCCGGCGTCGCCGGCGTCTCCGGATCGGGCCCCCAGATGGGGTCGACGGCCTTGGCCTTCTTCGGCCGAGTTTCGGGCGTCGCCGGCGTCGCCGGCGTCTCCGGATCGGGCCCCCAGATGGGGTCGACGGCCTTGGCCTTCTTCGGCCGCGATCCGGGCGTCGCCGGCGTCTCCGGGTCGGGCCCCCAGATGGGGTCGGCGGCCTTGGCCTTCTTCGGCCGCGATCCGGGCGTCGCCGGCGTCTCCGGGTCGGGCCCCCAGATGGGGTCGGCGGCCTTGGCCTTCTTCGGCCGCGATCCGGGCGTCGCCGGCGTCGCCGTCGGGCTCGCGCCCCAGATGGGATCGGCGGCCTTCTTGGCGCCGCGGTCGCCGCCGCGCGACCTCGCGCGCGCGACGGAGCCCTTGCGCTCGTCCCACTTGGGCGTCGCGGCGGAGAGCTGGCGGTGGAGCTTGGAGACGGTGCCGTCGACCTTGAGGTGGGCCTTGGGCTTGGCCCGGACCTCCGAGAGGACGTCCTCGAGCTCCTCGACGACCTCCTCCTTGCGCCGGAAGCCCCGCGGCGGCGGCGTCGCGGCCTCCCCCGCGCGCACGTACACGACGCTCGGGTAGCGCGTCGCGGGCCCGGCGTCGTCCTCGACCTCGGCCGTCGACGCCCGGGAGCCCGGGGCGGCCCCGGGCCGGCCGCCGCCCCGCGCGCCCGGCCGGCCGCCGCGCGGCAGCCTCGGGAGGGGCGCGGGCGCGGGCGCGTCGAGCGTCGAGACGCCGTCGGCCTTGCGCCGCGTCGCGTAGGCCGCGAGCGCCGCGGAGCTCGCCTTCGTCGCGCGCCGGAGCATCGTCGCGCGCTTGACGACCCTGGCCTCCGCGGCGACGAGCGCCTTGCAGATCGCGAGGTAGCCAAAGTCGCGCGCGAGGTCGCGCGGCGTGCGCCCGCGGCCGTCGCGCGCGCGCGCGTCGGCGCCCGCGGCGACGAGGGCGTCGACGGCGTCGCCGTCGCCCGCGCCGGCCGCGACGTGGAGCGGCCGCGCGTGGTGGCCGTCGGCCGCGTTCGCGTTCGCGCCCCCGGCGAGGAGGAGCCGCGCGGCGTCGAGGCGGCCGTGGCGCAGCGCGTGGTGCAGGGGGCTGCGGAAGCCCTCGCCGCAGCGCCCGTCGACGTTGACGCCCTCGGCCTCGAGGAGCGCCGCGACGCAGTCGACGTCGCCGCACGACGCGGCGCAGTGGAGCGGCCGCCGGCCCTTGAAGAGCGCGTTCACGTTCGCGCCGCGGGCCAGGAGCGCGCGCACGCGGGCCGCGTCGCCGTTGAAGGCCGCGGCCTGCATGGCCATGGCGCTCTCCGTGACGATGCCCATGGCCTTGGCCTCCTCGGCCGCGCGGTCCATCTCGCGGCGGTCGCGCGCGTCGAAGGCCGGCGGCGCGAAGCGCACGCCCCGGGGCGCCGGCGGCGCGGCGCCGGCGCCGCCGGCGACGTGCTCGGCGCGCCGCGTCGCGCGGCGCGACCGCATGGACGCGACCGCGTCGTCGTCCTCGCGGTCGACGAGAAAGTCGTCGAGCGCGGCGACGCAGCGGTGCGCGTGGAAGAGCTCCGCGACGTCGCGCGGCGCGCCGAGCCGGCTGGGCGCGTCGGGCCTCGCGCCGGCGCGGAGCAGGGCGAAGACGACGTCCGCGTGGTGGTGCTTGCAGGCGACGTGCAGCGGCGCGAGGCCGTCCTGCGGCCGCGACCTGGGCGGCACAAGCGTGATTCAACGTCGCTTCAACGTGAGTGTTCCGCGCGCGCGCGTTCCGGAAAAAGCATCCACGCTTCGAGACCGTTCCGAGAGATGATCGCTCGTCCAAAAATCAGCCGAAACGAGTGGAAAACGGCCGAGAAAGGAGCCTTTGAAGTTGGGAATTTCGCACCCTTTTGCTGCCCTGGCCGCGACGCGTCGGACGCGCCGAGCCCGAGGAGCGCCTCGGCGGCCTCCGGGTGGCCCCGCTCGCAGGCGACGTGGAGCGCGCGGTTGCCCTTGCCGTCCGTCGCGTCGAGGCTCGCGCCGCAGGCCGCGAGCGCTCGGACGACGGCCTCGGAGCCCGCGCGCGCCGCGTGGTGGAGCGGCGGCGCGCCCTCGATGAGCGCGTCGACGTTGAAGCCCTCGACGCCGCAGATCGTCGCGCACTGGTCCGCGTCGCCGCGGAGGCAGGCCGTCTTCACGCTCAGCTGCGTGAAGCCGAGCGTGTGCGAGTTCGCGGCCGACTCCGCGTCGCCGCCCGCGGCGACGAGCTTCGCGCGCGCGAGGAGCGTCGACGACCGGCGCGCGGCGCCCGCGGGCGCCGGCGCGGCCGCGGCCGAAGCGGCCGGGGGCGCCGCCTCGAGCGCCAGGAGCGCGCCCGTCGAGCCGCCCCGCGGCGGCGCCGCCGCGCGCGGCGGCGCCGCGAGCGCGCCCGTCGACTTGGAGTGGAGCGGCGGCGGCCGCCGGAGCCGCTCGCCGAGGTCGCGGCGCTGGTTCGCGTAGAGCAGGCCGTGGATCTTCTTCTCGAAACCGTAGTCGCGGCCGGTCTCGTAGGTGAGCTGGAGGGGCGGCGGCGCCATGGGCGGCGGGCGCTCTCCGGCAAAGTCGGACCGAGGTCCGGGGATGAGCGCGCGCGGCGGCCGGCTTCGCGGCGGCGGTTCGGGCGGCGCGGCGGCGGGCCTCACGCCATCGACGTTCGAGCCCGTCCGCGGCGCCGGTTCTCGTGGGACACAGCCGAGCGCCGCGGCGCTAAAACTTCGATCGATTCTTGAAGTACACGAAGGCCTGCACCATTTCACCATCAACACGAGCGGTCGGCACCGCAACAGCAGGCTGCGAGGTGGCGGTCTCGACAAAGTCAGAGCTCCAGGTCCTGCCTGAGCGTGCGCAGCGGCAGTTCGCGCCACCTGTCGGCGTCTCCACGCGCAGCGGTAGGCGAAGCGACATGTGGCGTCAGCTCATCGTCTTCCTCGTCGCGGCGTGCGCCGCGCTGCGCGCGCCGCCGTCGCGGCCGCGCGCCCTCGGCCGGCGCGTCGCCGGCGGCGGCCCGCGGGCGTCTCCCGACTTGTCGCGGCGCGCGACGGAGACCGAGGGCGAGGTCTTCGAGCTCCTCGAGGACGACGACGGCGACGGCGCGGCGGCGGCGGCGATGATGCGCGGCGACGACGACGACGACGACGACGACGACACGCAGCAGGCGCGCGTCGTCACCTACATGGTGCTCTCGCTGCTGCCGATCCTCGCGCTGCTGCCCTTCTTCGGGTCCCGCGACTGGCTCCCCGCGGACCCGTCGCTCTACACGTGAGGCCGCGCGCGCGGCCGCTAAGCGGCGTCGGGCCGCTTAGCCCCGGGGGCGGGGGGAGGGGGGGCTACTCCTCGGCGCCCGTGCTCGCCGAGGAGGCCGACTTCGCCGGGCTCGGCTCGTCGTCGTCGCCGGCGGCGCCCTCGAGCCGGCGGAGCGCGTCGGACGTCGCGACGCTCGAGGACGCGGCGGCGACGAGGGCCTCGAGCTCCCTGTTGAGCGCGGCGAGCGCCTCCATGGGCGCGCCGGCGGCCATGAGGGCGTCGAGCTCCGCCGTCTTCCGCTCGATGGCCTCGAGCGCCGCGTTCGCCGCGTCGAGCTCCGCGGCGAGCGCGCCGTTCGCGGCCCTTCGCCCCGCGATGGCGTCGTCGCGCGCGGCCAGCGTCGCGGCGAAGGCCGCGTCGTCGAGCTCGTGGCAGTCGCGGAGCGCGTCGTCGCCGATGCGGTCCAGGTCCTCGGGCCGCGGCAGCGGCGCCGCGGCGCCGCCGTCGCCGCCGTCGCCGCCGTCGAGCGCGTCCCACCTCGCGTGGGGGTTCGGCGGCGCGGGCGGCAGCGCGGCGGCCTCCGCCGCGCCGAGGCGGCGCGGCGGCGGCGGCGCCGCCGTGGCCGTGGGCTTCGCCGCCGTCGTCGTCGCCCGGGGCGTCCGCATGTGCGCCTTGGCCTCGGCGAGCGGCGCCGCCGTCGCCTCGTAGTCCCGCCAGGCGGCGGCGATGGCCTCGTCGCGCCGCCGCTGCGACGCGTGCCAGGCCTGGAGCTGCCCCTCGAGCTCGTCGCCCGTCTTCGCGGTGAAAAACGCCATGGGTGGGGCAGCGTCGAGCGCTGGGCTGCCGGCCGCTCGTCGAGTGGAGCGGCGTCGCGGCGGCACCTTCGGCGCGGGACGTCACCCTGGACCTCACCGCGGGCCCCGGGCCCCGACGCGTTGAGGGAGCTGGTTGGCCAAATTGGCCGGATTGGCCGCGTTGGACGTACGCCGTCGGACGGCAGCCAACCGCGACCGGACGATCGGACGAAGAGCCGACCGCGATCGGACAGGGACGAGGCCATTGGACGAACCTAGCGGCCATTGGACATGACCCCCGGCCATTGGACGTAAAAGTCATCCATTGGCTACGATCTCGCGACGTTGGGCAGCGTCTCCAGGGGGCAGCCCGCTCGCGAGCGGCGACGGCCCGGAGCGCGTGGATTCCATGGAAGCGGCCAACGCCACCCTCCCGCCCGCCCAAGACCTCGGCGCCGATGAACCAGAACTTCCGATCCGCGGACTGCCGCCGTTCTGCAGGCATCGATCACTGCGAATGCGGCGCGCGTCCCCCGATTTTTGCAGCTCCGGGTTTATACGCCGTGACAGGAAGGACATGGGGCAACATATCACCTCTGTGCGGTCGCCCTACGGCTGACTCGGGTTCGAATCACCCCCACGCGCGTGACGACGACGACGGCGGCGGCGGCGGCGGCGGCGGCGACGACGACGACGACGACCGACCGACCGACCGACCGACCGACCGACCGACCCCCCAAAGTAGGCTACAGGGCTTCGCCGGGGGCCCGAAGGGACTCGCCCGGCACCTCCTCGAAACCCCAATATATATTTTTTAAATTTTACCCCCCGTACCCCGGCGCTCGAGGTGGCCTCTCTGCTGGCAGTCCTCGCATTACACCGTGACTGACGCAGAGCTCGCGACTCATGTCGGCCAGCGATCGGACGATCGGACGATCGGCCAGATCGGACGATCGGACGAAGCCCATCGGACGCACGGCCAATCGCGGTTGGACGTGGCCAATGGGATTCAGCCAACGCGGCCAATCCGGCCAATTTGGCCAACCAGCTCCCTCAACCGACGCGTCCGGGCGCGCGCGGCGGACGGCCGGGGGATGTCCAGTTTCATATATGCACAAGCTTCGCGCGGCGGGGTGGGGGGGTTGCACAGGGGGGCGGGTGTGAGGTTCCGGGTATGAGCATGGCGGGGCGGTCGGCGCGCGCTCGCGGCGCGCCGCGCCGGGCAAAGTTGTGAGATTCTCTTGTGTCTTGGGGTGGCCGGTGGTCGGGCCGGGCCGCGGAGGGGGCTGGTGGCCGGTTAGCTCCGCGGCGGCGCCGTCGCCGGCGCGCCTCACGCCTTCTTCGCGGGCGACGCGCAGCACGTGCTGGACGCGACGAAGTCGTGGATCTGGGCCATGAAGCCCGGCGAGGCGTGGTGGGGCACATCGTCGAGGTCCATGGGGTCGAAGCCGAGGGCCGGGCGGAGCGCGAGCGCGTCGGGCGCGCCGGCCTCGGCGACGGAGGCGGCGAAGACGTCGCGGAGCTCCGCGCCGCCCGCGCCGCCCCCCGGGGCGAGGGCCCAGTCCTCGGCGGCCGCCGGGTCCGGGTGGAGGTCGCCGAACCAGTGCTCGACGGGCGCCGCGCCCGCGGCCGTCGGCGCGGCCGCGGCGCCGGCGCCGGCGCCGGCGCCGGCGAGCGGCACCGTCGCCGCGGTGCGGAGGAGCGCGTTCTCGCGCTGGAGCGCGGCGACCTGGGACTCGAGGTCCGCGGCGCGGCGCATCCACGACGCCACCTCGGCCCGGGGCGCCGCGCCGGGCGGGTCGGCCGCGGCCGCGGCCGCGAGGCTGTGGCCGAGGCGCGGGAGCGGCGGCGGCGCCTTGGCGGCGAGGGTGATGGGCCGGACCGCGGCGAGGAGGTCCGGGGGCGTCACGAGGACCCGCGGCCCGCCGCCGCCGAGGCCGCGCCGGAGCGTCGCGAGGCCCGGGGCGACGGACGCCTTCGGCGACGACGCCTTGCGCGCGGCGCGCTTGGGCTTCGCGGCGGCCCGGGGCCGCTTCGGCGACGCCCGCGCCGCGGCGCCGTCGGCCGGGGCCTTGGCCTTCTTGCGGACGATGGTCCAGAGGTCCGCGCCGCCGCCGCGGCGGAAGGCCGCGTGCCGGAACTCGACGACGTGAACCTGCGCGCCGTGGGCCCCCGCGGGCACCTTGTGGAACTCGTACATGTTCAGCATGCGCGAGAACGAGTTCCAGTTCTTGTGGCGGAAGAACTTGGGGCAGACCTCGGCCGCGAAGCGCGACGGGTCCGCGACGACGATGCGCTCGCCGTCGTCGCTCCAGGCGATGAGCGTGTCCTCGTAGGGGCCGTTGAGCAGGCTGAAGAGCGTCCGCACGAAGGCCGCCACGGGCCGCTCGGGGTGCTCGGGCACGACGTCGCCGGACTCGCCCCCGGCCACGGCGCCGGCGCACGTATCCGGAGACATCCGGCCCGAAAACGAAATCGGCGAGGGCGTCGCCGGCGGGGGGGTGGGCGCCTTCTGGCCCCGGAGGGACCGGCGGACCGGGGGTGGCGGCGCGACGGTCGCGGTCATATGACGGGGATTCGCAGGGGGACTTCAGCAGATGAAAAATCGTACGGACGTCGCCGCTATTTTGCAGTGAATCCCGCGATTGGGATCAGACACAACTCTCTCTCTATCGCATTAGGCGAGGGGCCCCGCCTACGCGCAGTGAAGTGATCAACGTACATCTACGCCGGCGTAGATTAATTAATTAATATCAATCGATCATTCTGGGCCCGCATTCATTAGTCCTCCGTAGAGGTTGTGCGTCGACCGCGCGCGAAAAAAAAATCCACGCCATCAGAATTTGAGTTTTGATCACTTCACTGCCTACGCGCCTGCCTTGGGCGGACGCGGGCACTGGGGGGCCCACTAAAGCCGCACCGGGCCCCGGGGGGGCTCTTTTGAGGACAACTCTCTCGTGCTCTCCCTCAGCTCTTCGTCGTCGTGCCCTCTTCGTCGCCGTGCTCATACGCCTCCGCCCTAGTCGTGTCCTCCCGTGACGCCTTCCTACGCCTCCCTTCGCTGTTCTCTCTCCCTTCGATTCCTCCCTGCGACGCGGCTAATTACACAACTCTCTAGGGACACGGCGTTGCCGTTGCGCGTCTCCCCGTACGTAGTGACAGAAGGCACGTAGGCCGCGAGCTCGCGCGCGAACTCGTCGGCGGCCGCCGTGTCGACGACCTCCTCGTTGGTCTCCCAGGACTTCATTTTGCGGTAGATCTTGAGGTCCTCGACGGCGGACCGCTTCTTGTGGTGCTCGAGCGACGTGCGGGGGCGCGCCGCGAGGCGCGGGGACGACAGCAGCGCATCGGTGGCGCAGGCGAGCAGGAGCAGCTTGGCCATCCTGGCGTGTTAGCTTCGAAGGCTCGTGCAAGCGCATGCATGCTAGCCTAAAATCGATTCGCTGGCATCAACTGCAGCCTCAACTTCGGAGATTCCGCTTGGCGCCGGTGCGCCGGTCGACGGCGTCGGACTCGAACGACCTACTCGGGCCCCGCGTTTTACTCATGGGGGGCGCTTAGTCATCCCGGAACCGTGACGCGCGGGCGGACTCGGACTCCTCGGGGGGCGCGGCGCGCGGGTTTCTGAGTTGCGGTCTCGGCCTGGCAGCCCGTCGGCGCGCCTTCCACGGTCGCCGGGCCCGCGCACGCGCGTGGACGCGTCCGGCCGTGCATCAGTCTCGCGTTTACGTGCCCTGCTAGCCGGCTCGCGATCGGACGGCGATTCGAGTCGTGGGTGCACTCAAGAGGTATGCACAAACAACCTTAACCACTGTCATGCTGATCTGAGATGGGTGCTCTGAGAATGGGGTGAGGTAGTGGTGGTGGTGGTGGGGGTGGTACCCCTGGGGCCGCTGGAGACCACTCGAATCCACCGGAAATATGCTTGTTTTGGCTCTATCGACCAGTTTTGATCTCGAGCTCGAGCAAATTGGTGGTTTTGGCACTCGATCATAAATGTCGACCGTGTGGAGGTCGTGGCCGAGCAGCCCTCCAGCTGCCGATCGGCCAGGACGGGTGGTTCACAGGCTTCGTTGACCCCATGTTGCAGCTGTTTTGACCACTCATTTTGAGCAAGTCGCGACTCTGGGGTAGTTAGTTAGTGGTGCTTGCTGTCGTGAGGTGGTTCACTGCCTGCCTCTTGGGTGCACTGCAAAAAAGAAACCAATAGATTCCCACCCTTCGAATGACGTTCAACACTGACTATATATTTCAAGGAGTGACGGTATTATTGTGTTAATGACGGTTCTTGTCACTCCGAGACAGAAACCAGCTACCGAAACCTGGCCCGTCGACGGCGCCGTGCGGCGCCATAGAGGCACTGCCGTGGTCCGCAGGTTTTCCGTCAGTCCTCTTTGCCCCACGGGGCTGCCATCCGCTGTCTCGCCCGCTGCGGCTCGGTTGCAACGGTCGCCGCGGGCTGCTCTCGCCCGCGGTGGCATCCATGCCGCCGCCGCTGCCTTGACAGCGACGTCGTGCGCCTATTGATGCCGCCGCCGCGGTCCGCGGGCGCGCCCGAGGCGCCATGCGAGCCCTCGAGCTCCAGCCCTGCTGAGATTTTCGACCGCGCGCGCGCGCGGTCCGTCGCCGTCGCGGCCGCCGCGGGCAGCCCCGCGGGCACGAGCGACGAGCAATCCGATTGCACGTCACCGATCCGGGACGAACGCGAACCTGGTGCTGTGGTGCTGAGGTCGGGCGACTCGGTTGGCGCCGCGCACCATACCACCGCCCCGGTGGCAGTAAGAGCAGCGGTCCCGAGGTCGCGCCGACCGCGCAGGTGTACTTAAGTGGGGCCTACGTCCTATAGTATCGTCGTGGGTGTTTAGAGAACCCAGGCGATGGCAATGGCTCGCCGGGCGAGCCTTCCCGCGGCAGGGCGCGACCGGGTCCACGCGCGACGCCGGGCGACGTGAGCGACCTCCACGAAATCGCACCGCCGTTCGACGCGCATGTCGGGGCGGCGACAAGTGGTCGTCGCTCGTCGTCGCCCGTGTCCGCGGGGCTGGCGCGCGACGCGGTCGGAGCGTCGCGCGGCGGCGACCGGACGCGCGCGGGCGGCTCAGGCGACCTCGGCAGCGATGCCGCGGTCCCGGACCGCGTCGCGGACGGCGGAGGCGACAGGCAAACGAGCTCGTCGTCGCTCGTGTCCGCGGGGCTGCCCGCGGCGGCCGCGCGGCGGCGGCGGCGGCGGCGGCGACGGAGAAAAACCTGGAGCTCGAGGGCTCGCCCGGCGCCTCGGGCGTGCGCGCGGATCGCGTCGGCGGGGGCGCTAGGCAGAAGACCTCGTCGTCGCTCGGCTCCGCGGGGCTGCCCGCGGCGGCCGCGCGGCGCGACGGCGGCGGCGTCGACGGGCCGCGCGCGCGCGCAGTCGAAGACCTGGCGGTCCAGGGCTCGCCCAGCGCCTCGGGCGCGCCCGCGGACCGCGTCGGCGGCGGCGACAGGCAGACGACGTCGTCGTCGTCGTCGTCGGGCGGCGCGTCCATGCCGCCGCGGGGCGAGGGGCAGCCCGCGGCGACCACCGCGCCGATGCGCGCCGGCGGAAGCGCTCCGGGGCGGCCCGGGGGGGTCGACGCCCCGGAAACCGACTTCGCGGCGCGGGCGACGGGCCGCGCGGCGGCCGAAACCGGGCGAAACTCGCGCCGCAGCCCCAGGCCGTCATTCGGGGACGGAATGACGGCTCGGGCCGGCCGAATGACGGCCAAAACCGTCATTCGGCTACAGGAAACCCCCGGAAGGATGATGGACGAGAACGTCGGGCCGCTGGCCCTTTCGCCGACAGGGCGCACGAAGCGCGGCGGCCTCCTCGACGGCGATCCGGAGCTCGTCTTCGGCCTCGCGCGGCCGGCGAGCCCGCTGCGGTCGCCGCGCGGCTCCGCGGGCAGCCCCAAGGTCAAGCTCGGCAGCCCCGCGGCGCGGCCGGCGACGTCGCCGGGCGGCGCGGCGCCGCCGCGCTTCTTCGCCGAGGACGCGAGCGGCGCGGCGGCCGCGGCGCGGCGGCCGCGGCGCGGCGGTCCCACGACGTCGCAGCGGCTCGCGCGGTCCGACGGCGTCGTCGGCCGGCGGCCCGCGCGGCCCGCCGCGCGCCGCGCGTCCTTCGGCGGCCGCGGCGCCGGCGACGCGGCCCTCGGCGCCGACGACGCGCGGGGCGAGGCGCGCGCGCTGCTCCGCGCGGTCGCGTCGCTCGCGGACCCGGCGGCGGCCGGCCGCGGCGGCGCGGCCGGCGCGCTCGCCGCGGCCGCGCGCGCGCTCGCCGCGCTCGAGGCGGACCCGGCGGCGCTGGCGCCCCAGGCCGTGCGCGTCCCGCGTCCGCGCGCGGGCGCGCGCCGGCGGCGCGCGCGCGCGCGCGCTCGGGAGCCGCGCGCGCCCCGCCGAG